TGTATTCATAGAATATATAATATAATAATAATAAAATAATAATAATAATAATAAATAGACGTGAATGAGCCGGGGGGGGTATATGAGGTGAATTACAGTTATAATAAGTGCTTAGAAGTAAACTAAAAGAATATTAGATACAATTTAGAGTTCAGTAAGAGTGAAGTTGAAAGTTAACTCAACGAATTATTTCATTTAGTTTGAAAGTTCCATTATTGTTATTGTTATTATTATTATTTAATTTGGAAAATACTTGACAATAGCTGACTTATACTAGTTATAATACTACTATAAGTAGTAGTAGTAGTACTGTCCACATTATTACTACTTTAAATACTACTCATGATGTATAAAAAGAAGTAGTACTTGATTAATTAATGATTTGAGCTATTTGTATATATATAATGTCTAATGTATACAGTTAGGTAGGGTAAACACGAAAAACACAAACAAAACACCTATTTTTTTGCCTTCGGCAATAATTCATAATGATAAATATTTTATCTACTTTCTTACTATTCACGTTTGTCATCTTTCAAACAATAAAATACTTGAAGAAAGAAGTGAAGAGAAAATAATCTATGATGAATTTGTCGCAAAAAATTACTTCATGGGATAGTTTTGGTCAATCTAAAGTATACTACTGAATGCTCTTGAGCTCTTCGACTATTTTAGCCAATTAGAAGTTAAGAAAGATAAACGAAGGATTTCTAGTATAGGGGTTGTGGAGATTATTAAGTTTTTGATTGAGATCATGAACCAATTGATGCTAGGCCACCATTAAAAACCTGGAGGCATTGGACGGCCGTTTCGTCCTGCTGTGGACTCCTCGGCAATGCGCATCCACAATCCCGCTCGCGGGATTCGAACCCAGAGCCCTCAGTCTCGCGCACGATTGCTTAACCTACTGGACTACTGAGTCGGCACCCAATGGTATTAACGTCTATATTGATAATCATTATGAGTTCATTTTGAAGAAACTAAATGAAAGGGAACACTTTGTGAAAAACCCCGCGAGCGGGATCGGGGATGTGCACTGCTGAGGAGTCCCACAATAGGACGAAACGGCCGTCCAGTGCTTCCAGGTTTTCAATTGTGATAGTCTAACATCAATCGGTTCATGATCTCAATCAAAAACGAAGGATTTGTTATTGCTAGGACTTTGGATTAGTATAAAGATTTTAAAATTATTGCATAATAGTTGATGTTAGTGTATGATAAGAATCCTGACATTTATTTCTAATTGTAATTTTTAACTCTATTTTGATATTTACACTATGACTGTGAAGTCGACTACTTTATCTTTATTGGTTCTGGAATATAATTTAGGTTAACCGTTTTTTGAATAAATGGTTGTAGATTTTTTCATCAGTAGTAGTAATAGTTATAGTAACAGAAGGAGTAAGTGAATGGATAAACTTATTGGTAATGTTAAAAACTAGGATTGACAGTGGTTCTTAAGATATATCGCTTGAATAAGAAGTAGGGTTTGAAAAAGTTAGGTGTTGTTAAAATATAACCACAATTTATGAAGTCTTTATGTTTTTGATGGAGTTTTGTTCTCTGAGCTGAATGGTTTGGTCGTGGGTCTTTCATCGTTCTTCTGAACAACATCATCAGCAGCACAAACTTCAGATAGAAGTGAAGAGTTCAAATTTCTCCACATATGGTTCACAGCTTGTGCTGTACACCTCGATGTTGATTGATTCTTTTTGACCTTAAACCTGTCATTGTTTACTCATTTGTTTTGGTTGTGTCTCTCATTGGTTTGATTTTTGTTCTTATGTTTGTGCATAATTTTCAGAGAACAGAACTCCTTCAAAATCATCCATCTGAGCTAAAAATCTTTTTCATCTCAATATTCTATTTATAAATAGATATCCTTATTTTCAATAATGATGTTTCTTGATGTTTTGTTTCGTTCTCTAAGCTGAATGGTTTGGTCGTGGAGCATTCATCGTTCTTCAGAAAAACTATCCAGCTCAGAGAACAAAACTCCATCAAAGTCATTCACCTTTTATTTTGAAAATATATAAATAACATACAGTGATTGATCCCATCCTAATTAGTTCCTCTTTTAACAGACCGATCTATAGAAATTACGTAATGCTAATCACTTCGTAAATAGTAAGATTAAGCTACTTTTTAACTAGTATATATTACATCTATGTATATATCAAGGGAATTGTTGTTTCTTTCCGACATTTATCTCCGCGACCAAACCACCCAACTCAGAGAACAAAACTCCATCGAAATTATCCACCCGAGCTACAAATCTTCTCCACCATCTCGAAGTCTTTAGGTTTTAATCATAACAGTGGACAAAACGTCGAGATTAAGGCCTTTGCAACACTTTTGATCAGTGGTTTGGAAAATTAAAATCTTCTAAATATTTAATTCTTAAACATAGTAATCAACATTAGAGTGATTTTGTAAAAATATATTAGTGACATATTGTGATGACTGGTTTGTGGTTCAGTACAGTTATTATCAACTGACATTTAGATGAACATATTATGCTGCATACCATAGATTGAATGAAGTTGAGCAGTGAAAATATTAGAATCTCCACAAACCCCTCACCAATGGTTAGTTTCAATATGAATTTCCTGGAGTTCTAGTGAAAAACCATGACCAGTGATGTTCATTCCGCGTCAGGTGTGAGACAGTTATTGAATTCAGATAATGGATGAAGGGTTGCGCAAGATCATGGATCGATTGAAGTTGCACATTAACACAGTTAGATGTTGGCTCAGTGCTTTATAGGTTAAGCATCTGTGCGCCAGACTGAAAGTCCTGGGTTCGAGTTCCATGAGCGGGGTCGTAGATGCACACCGCTAAGGAATTCCATTCTGTGACGAAACAGCCATCAATGCTCCTAGGCTTTCAATGATAGTTTAGCTTAGATAGATTCGTGACTTCAATTGTGAAAATACTACAATCTCCACAAACCCCTATACTGTAAAAAGTATTACATTGGTATATTTTCTTTAATTTGAGTTTGTAGCTGTTCGACTCTTATCAGTTTGGAGTGCAACTGATGACTATTTTGTGTTCTGTTATTCGAAACAATTTCATTATCTTTTTAAACAAAACAGTAATTCAGTTGATAGTATAATCATCTATTATTCTCAATTCTTCGTTAAAGCTGTAAATGGTTATTCATGATTGCTATTGAGGAAATGTAGATTATTTAGCTTTACAAACCGTAATATCAACTGACAAAACATCATCTAAATATATTTTAGCATTTGAAGTACTAGAATACTAACTTTACTAATATTTTATTATAATACTACTATTTCCATTACTAATTAGTAGTAGTGTTAGTGTTTGGCAATAGTTGACAGACAACACTATACTTGAGTTTCACTCTGGTTCATATTTACTAGTAGGAGAGAATTGATGCTCTCCTCGATGTCTATATTTAGGTCTAGAGTTTCCTGTTGACTAATGCTAACACCCTTGCATCCCAACATGATGAATGTGATATCGAGTCACTTAAACAAATAGCCACATTGTAACTTGACCAATAAGATTTTATTAGCAAAACTATACACCGATCGATGCAAATAAGTAGTAATTGTAGTCTGGTGAACGAGAATTCAGGTGCAGGAAACCAACTTATTCGTTGACTCAAAATTACAGGGTGCCTTCGTCAAATATGAAAACCATACATTAAATACATTATGTGCACACCTTCCTTCAACTGTATTTTATTTATTTCAATTCTGTTGTTATTACAGTTGCTCTTTGTTTCCTTCAATTCGATCTCTCTGAATCTTCTATTGGCAGGCATTCTTCTTCCAATTAGTACATCACACTACTTATATCTGTCAACATAAGTAGTATACACCACGGTAGTAGTAGTAGTATTCAAATTTGACAATTAAATATCCTAAACTATTTCTTTTAATTTTAATACATAAAGCAAATATGTTAATAGTGTATCCTTTACCAATATATTGGATTATAATTACTAACCGTTCGATTACTTTATTCAGTAGATGAAATTTATTTATAACTAATATACCAATAAAATTTTTCATCTACATTTCCTGTACACCTTTTTTTTGTCAATGGTATGGTGTATACAAATTGCTGATCGTTGTTTTCGGTCGATATTATCATTGCTACTAGGCTACCATCCTTTATTATTATTGTCATTCTAGATTCCTTCCATTGTTTGTCATTCCTCCTTTAATCTTTACTTTTTTTTTCCTACTGTCTCCATTTCTCATTTCTTGTTTTGACAGCGATGTATGTTTACATGTGTATATATATATAAATATACATACACTCAGTAGTAGTCCATATAGTTTCGTATCCACACACACACACATGCATATATATATATATATATTATATGGGACAATATACTACATACATGGGCAAACTATGTATATATGTAGCAAATACATACACAATACCACACACTACATACATATACCCTATGAACCATTATAAATACCAACAGTATATAAAGCGATTTTTGACAAAATCAGGAAATGAATAGTTTTAAAACTCGCTTTTCCTAAAGTTCTTTTATTCTAATAATTTTGACAATTGTCATTTTGGAAATTATTATTATTTTTAAGCATAAAACTAGAATATCTATATAGACTATATTCTTTCCTATCCAATCTATATGGAGATATGTGTATAAAACATACATATATATGTATGTATATATTGGGGACATTTGATAATCAGAGTATGAACAGCAGCATACACGTATTCTCTCTTCGTTTCTTTTTTACAATGTTTTTATACATACATATATTTATGTATGTCTATTGACGTCTGTTCACATAGCCCGACAATATATATATATCTGATTATCATTCGCTTTGATCTTTAATTTGATTAGTTTTTTTGTGATTTATGGTAATACTCAGAATAATGACAACAATACTATTAACGCTAACAACAAAACAATATATGTAATGCTACATTCATACTTCCGCCTGTTTTTTTTTGTCTATCTGAAAATAATTTAGAATTCTTCCCCTTTACTTGGAAGTGTTGGAAGTCGGCGGTCACCGGATGCAGATGATCGGACTAGTCCTAATGGCGGTGGAAATACATGTCACCGTAATGGAGCATCTGGGTGTGGAAACTCCAACAATCGTGGTAGTGGTGGTGGTGGAGGTTGTGATGGAAATGGAGGAGGTGGTGGGGATGGGAGCGGCGGCGGCGGTGGTGGTGGTGGTGACCGTGGACGGTCATCTGACAATTCTGGTGGGGGTGGACGTACTGCTTCTGGTACAACAATTTCCAACACTCAACATATTGCTGATCATAGCTTGGTTCGCCAAACTCATAATCATCATCCACATTCACTCAATCACATGTCACAAAATTTATCTCAGTCCAATACACCAATGTCTCGTAGTCATGGTAATGCCAGTCAAGATATGAACAGTGAAGCGGGTATGTTGAAATGTTATTTATCTGATTGTATGTTTTGTACATTTCTTTTTTTAATAAAATAAAAGTAACATTTACTGCGTTCTTCCTCATGTATATAATAACGTCCGATAAATAGATAAATACTTAACTTGCAGAGATATTTTATTTTTATTAGTTCATGGTAATTCTTCTAGGAATACCAATGATTAGTTGTTATCTGTGAGGTAGTAGTGTAGTGAAGAAGAACATGGGTTGGGACAACCGAATTATATTTAGCACAACACTACAGAGTTACTTGGTAAAATAGAACAACCATACTATAACACTTAATTTGCAAAATGTTCAATAATTCCCTCGGACTTCATTGTTCTTGCATTTCTATACTAATTGCTTTTTATTCCCGTTCTTCCTTCCCTGATCTTCCCCATTTTCTGCCGCCAGACATTACATTCCTGACTCGCGTCATATACTACTTATATCAATGTAAGTAGCACGCAACACAATAGTACTGGCAAGTTTATTTCAACAGTAAAATTCCATTTATTTTGTAATTCCAAGATTTTAAACACTTATACTAATACGTAGAAGGAGACTATCATTTCTTGAGATATCTGAAAAAGATACTGGATTCATAGTGATCTTGTCGACTTGAGGTCATGATTGCGGAGTTCATATGACAACTGTTTGATATTAGTTATATATTGACCTTTTTAATGAGTACTTTGTAGTTCAATATATCTAGCAACAGAAACTGTTAAGACAAAAGATTCATTTTTAAGATCAATCTATTTCAACTCTCTCCTTATGACTTAAGATTTTAATCCGGTAACTATCATTTTAAATGTCAATATTTTAATTCCTACCAAACTACACAATCCAGACAACTACTAACATGTTCAGCAAGTAATATGTGCATTACATTCCACTGTTTTTTTATTTTTTTCATCATTCCATATTTTCTTTTTTTTTATAAACATAAACAAACATATACCTTTACAGGTGATGGAATTGATAACTCAATTGGATCGGGGGAAAATTTTGATGAATTTGATTTAGAAGAAAAATCAATAAAACGTCAGAAAAAACGTGGTATTTTCCCTAAAGCTGCTACAAATATTATGCGAGCTTGGCTATTTCAACATCTATCAGTAAGTATAGATACATGTGTGTATGTATGTGTGTGTGTGTAGATGTGTAATCTAACTATAAACTTACTAAATATAATAAGAACTTACTTACGCCTGTTACTCCTCGTGGAGGAGCATAGACCGCTCACCAGTACTCTTCATCCAAACCTGTAATAGGTAATCCTTTCCAGCTCTTTCCAGTTGTTACTCATCATTTTCATATCTGATTCTAATGTGTTCTTTGGCCTTCCTCTTTTCCACTTCCATTCAGGATTCCAAGTTAGGGCTTGTCTCGTGATGCAGTTTGATGATTTCCATAATGTATGTCTTATTCATTTCCATCATCTTTTCCTAATAAGAACTTAATCTAAACAAGAATGATAATTATCGGTATAATCAATTTAAGGTTTGACTTCATCTGTTCTGATGAATTGACCATTGAATTAATTCTAAATAAATAAATTTATAATATCCTGATCAATAGAAGGTTAGATGTTTTGATATTCTTTCATGTTGTGTAAGTCATTTCTTTAATAAATCAATATAATGATCCAATTAAATGAACATAAACAGAATCATTGTAGGTCAATTAGATTTATCATTAATTTCTCTTCAGTATAATGATACGAGTTTAGAAATGGAATGTTATACATAAGTTATGTCATTATGAAGTATAAACGACAATTGATTTTAGACAAATTCAATAAATAAGAATGGAATGAAAAGTGAATCTTCATCGACTGAGATGGTTGGGCCACGGGTTACGTATGCCTGAACACCGATTACCACGACGTGCAATGCTAACCGGTGTTCGGGATGGTTGGAAGAAAGTTAGGGACGACCAAACAAAAACGTGGCATTAGTGCTTGAAGTTACTAACTTCTAGTCTGAGATGTAGACTACTTGCTTGAGGTCCGAGTGACTATCGTAACCATTGGTTGGAGACTGTGTGTAACATGGCTCAGAATCGATCAAAATGGCGTAGGTGTATACACTCTCTGTTTTCCCTTAAACTAAGAGATTAAAATCGCTTCATAACTTTCTTTCTACGAACTAGTTCTTTCTTCCTGTACTATATCCTTATTGCAATCTTTCTTTTACATATTACCACCTCTGAATTAACTACTTTTATGAATCCAGTGTCCATCTTGTTGTGTTAATGAGGTATGGCAACTTGATGTGATGTTATACAAGTGGTTAATCAAATCAAGGTTATTATCCAAGATAAAGTTAGACGCATAAATCTTTTAATAACAATGATCTTATCAGATTGTAGTATTTTCATAGTTGAAGTCACGATTCTATCTAGCCTAGACCACAAAATTGAAAACCTGGAAGCAACGAACGGCTGTTTTGTCCTAATATGGGACTCCATAACGGTGCACATTCACAACCACTCAAGTGGGACTGGAACCCTGGACCTTCGGTTTGACAGAGGAGACTATTGAGCCGGCCGATATCCGACGTTGTTAATGTCTGACTTAAGTCGATCCATGACAATTTCTTGAAAGGAAAGTCATCGAAAATTTTGTAGTAAAATACATAGTTTTTTTCCTTTTAGTTTGGTAACATCTCAGTAGTGTTTACCTAATATGTCCACATTGATTTCATCGAATTCACATAGTTTAACTGTTAACAGTTACTCGGGTATATAAGATAAACAAATATCTTTTGTTTAAAATAAAATCTTCTTTAAAAATACATGACCACTTAAAAAGTGTAAAATACCGGAAGTAAACCATACCGTATGATTTCATTACATAATCATTGAAAATCACTAATGAATCTCAGACTGTTCTTTCACTTGAGTTAGGAATTCATTAACTACGGAATTATAATCATCCTATCACACTGTCAGAACAAAAAACACAAGTGATACCCATAATCTTTAGTCACAATTATTTTCTAATGAAACACAATCTTTATCCAATGATATAAATTGGTCATTATGTTTTTATTCTCATTTACCAATGCTTTCTGACAAAAACCATTCCCCATATAACCACTCAGTTTGATGAAATTAATAAAATAAACATTTTTTTACTGAAAAAATAATCAGACTACTTATAATTATTTATGAGTAGGCTATCATTAACTAGACTTACTTTGATACTTCATGAATGATATTAAAATCTGAAAATTATCTTTATCACCTATTAAATAATATTATTTGGAAATTGGGAAGTTATTGGACAACTATTTCATTTTAGTTCAGAGGCTTTTCCGTGGTGTACAAACTTCCAAGCTATACATATAATCTATCGTTTTCAACTTCAAACCAGATCAATCATGTTGGAATTGTGATATATAGAGTTGTCACTGATAATGATATTGAATAATTGTCATTTATTTCATCAGGCACAAATTATTGGATTTAAATGATGTTGTACTTACCGCAGTATAGAGATTACTTAAGATCTGAGGTACCTTACGATAAATTAAAGTGACCATATTCAGTACTCATTTGGTCCTATTGGTCTTCCATTAGGGAGATTTATAAATTAAGAAGCCATACTTTCCTTTTTGTTTTAGAAAATAACTTTATTGGTGATCATCATTATTAAACGTAAATTGTTTTCTAAAAATGTTTTCTTTTAAAACTAGCATCCTTATCCATCGGAAGAACAAAAAAAGCAATTAGCTACAGATACTGGTTTAACAATTCTACAAGTAAATAACTGGTAAGCAATCGTATATGTATATGTGTTTTGTGCTCATATGAATGCGTGTAGAATCAATTGAATCCATTTTTTTCAGTTTCCAACAGAGAAAGCGATATATCTAAGTTCATTGATCTCTGAGTTGTTGTAAAAATTTCAATTTGTGTTTGACACACTAAACTTGTTTATCTTATCGAACTAATAATCTCAATCAAACTGTGTTGAACTGGGACAGCGTTACTGCTTAACTTACGTAGTCTTACTCTGAAGATACACCATCAAATAACTATCTAGTCTGACTCACTCCATTCTAGTAGCCAGGCTGTTTTGCTTTCATAACTTACTTCGGAAACAGTTGTAGTTTTACCAAAAGTTTCTTATTTAAATGTAAATAGAATAAGGTGGAAACATGGACAAAAATTAATAAAAATTCTGAAAGTAATTGTTCCATTTCAGCTATTGATTAATTAGTATTAATCATCCTTGAGTTTGATGAGATACTATAAACAATTCAACGTCTAAATGACCATATTTTCCGTGTCGAAATACATCTAGCTGAACAGACTGATTCAACTAACGTTCATCGTTATTTCATTGACCTTACACATGTCTGTTTGATTAATAATACTCCTGAAAGAACTCTATCTGATCACTAGTTTAAATGACTTGATATGCCATATCATTATTTATTAACGTTAGGATGATTAGTTAGCGTTAATCTATAAGAATTTCTTTATTAAGGTTTCGTGTTAGTTGACACTTATCAGCAAAGTGATTCGTATTTAATCTTTAATAGGATTTAAGTTTGGATTTCATAGAAAGTATATTAATCATATGCTCACTAGTGACTGACTTCAAGAGGCATTTCCTGGAATTCTAGTGAGAAGCCGTAACTAGTGGAGTTCAATTGGGTGAGATAGTAACTCACTGATGACAATGGTTTGGATTTCATAGAAAGTATATTAATCATATGCTCACTAGTGACTGACTTCAAGAGGCATTTCCTGGAATTCTAGTGAGAAGCCGTAACTAGTGGAGTTCAATTGGGTGAGATAGTAACTCACTGATGACAATGGTGGGCAGTGGCTCAACTTCGTGGACTAGTTGCAGTTAGACATTAACATCATTGGATGCCGACCGGCTCAGTGGTCTAATGGTCAAGCTTTCGCGCGTGAGACCAATAGGTCCTAGGTTCGAATCTCGCATGGCTGGATTGTGGATATACACTGCTGAGGAATCCCACAATGGGACGAAACAGCCATCCAGTGCTTTCAGGTTTTCCATGGTAATCTAACTTCAATTAACTCATGATCTCAGCTATTAAAATGACTATTCGTTTTTAAAAATATATAACAGATTGTTTATTTAAAAGAGAATACAATAACAATATTGTATCTATCATTAGTATTAATCATTATGCTAATATTTCTCATTTCATATTTATTTACATTTGTCTAAGATTTTTTTTCAGTATCTAGTACAGATATTATTTTGTTTGTACATGTAAATAACCTAAATTCTAAAAAGGAATGATATACAGCCTTTAGGCAATAGAATGACATATATATATAAGTAGTATTTCTAGGACTAACAATAATATAATAAATATGAATAACTGTTATTGCATAATAATAATAATAATAAAAAAAGAGATTAAAACCCTTTCATTTCTCAATTGATTTAATGTTTATTTACTCGGTTTAAATGTTCTTTCATCTATCCCCACCCACCCCTTTTGTTCACATCTTGAGGGCATAGCAACAATAAAAAGGTGGACAACATGGTCTCTTTTAAAATTTAAAATATTTCCTGACTTTGAAGATTAATTTTTGTTATTTAAAATAATTAAAGAAATGAAAAATGAGGCAATTTATAAAAAAAAGAACAAAGAATTAAGATAACAATAATGAAATGTTTGAAGAGAGACTGTGGAGAAAGAAGAGGGCGGAGAGTGAATAAAAGCTATATGAATTTATTTGTGATGAAAAAGATAAGGAGGCTGATAATCAGTAATTCTAGAAAAAAAAAGTACAAATAGTGAAATAACTAATTCTAATCGATAGTTCATATTTATAATTTATATCACAGACTGACCTTAATTAGACAACCATTGGAAACCAAGAAGTACTGGATAGCTGTTTAGTCCCAGTGCACACTTAAAAACCCACTGGGGATTGAACCCAAGATATTTCAGTTTCTATTGACTAATTTTGAAAGGCGATTCTCAAATCTCTAGCGTGAAGCGGTGACGAAGGGGACACAACTATGACAAGTATGAAGCCAATTTCCACCAATCCCATTCGAAGATTGTTATATATTATTGATAATTATTCGAAGTCATAAATATAAGCCATCTGATACCAACTCAGTTGGTTCACGGTTAAGGACTCTGTGAAAGCCTTGAAAGATTTTATGTTTGATCTCTGGTTGATAAAAGATGTAATTTTAATGTCGATTTCCAGGTATAGGTGCTGCGCGACTTCTTACTCGAACTCTTCAATACTTCACGATATAGAAGTAGGTTGGGAAAAGCTATAAAATAGTAGGTTAATTGAAAATCGACCATTCAGTTTATTCTGATATGTATCTAATCACAGCATTGCATAGTCAAGACTAATAAATACTTACTTATACTTGATTTATTTTGTCGGTTGTACCATGATAACTATGAGTTGACAAAGTTATTGAAACATACTTATTTGGTTTCTACGTGTTTTTTTTTCTCTAAATAGGTTTATTAATGCTCGACGACGTATTGTTCAACCAATGATTGATCAATCAAATCGAGCCGGTAAGTACTGTACACTTCTAGATTACAATGTTTTATCAGCATAGGGTTGTGGAGATTTTTGAGTTTAGATTGACATTATGAATGGATTAATTTTAAACCACCATTAAAAACCAGGAAGCACTGGTAGGCCGTTTTGTCCCAGTTTAGGACTCCTCAGCAATATTCATCGACGGTCCCATACTGTTAAGGAGTCCCATACTTGGACGAAACGACCATTCAATGCTTCCAGATGTCCAATGGTGGTCTAACTTAGATTGAATGGTGGATTCAACTGCTAATTAAGTTTAATAAATATGCCAATGTGATGATTGTATATTGTCCTCTTACTATAAAGGAAATAATATTTGAAATAATTAGTTCTTTGCTCTCCAAACTATTCATACTCTAATCGGTCTCATTAATTCTCAGTTTATACTAACTCCCTGTTGATTAGCTGAAAAAGTGGCTATAAATTCATAAGGTTACTTTGATATCACTTTTGGTTAAATTCTATATTATGGTTATATTTAATCATTCCCAGAAACCGGATTGTTAGTAGAATAGTTCAAACAATTGCATAGAAGTCAAATGTCAAATAACTTACCGAGGAAAAAAAGTTTATTTCACCTACAATAAATATGTTTACGTGCATGAACATAAGACATACTGAACGTGAATATCGTGATAGTCTTCAGTTATTCAATTAATCCTTAAATTTATTGAGTATTCAGTGAATTTGGGGATAGTTTTATAAAGACAGATTTAGTTTATAGGCCACATTTATCATAGAGTAACATCAGTAAGGGGAGTAATATTGAAAATTAGGGAGACTTGGACAATGGTTTCGACCTAATATGAATGTTCTTAGTATTATATGTTATTGACACTAATAGCGATCAAATTCACACCCTTTAAATTACATGACCAGCAGGTTGAAAATCAGAGAAAATATAAAAGAAGTTTTGAAATATAAAATTCTTCTAGTTAGTTTCTTATGTCTTGGTTACTTACTTACGCATGTTACTCCTCATCGAGGAGCATAGGCCACCAACTAGCATTCTCTATCCAACTATGTCCTGGGCAATCCTTTCCAGCTGCTATTCATCTTTTGATATCTGCTTCCAATTCTCCACTCAGTGTGTTTTTTGGCCTTCTCTTTTCCGTTTCCCTTCAGGAATCCAAGTTAGCACTCGCCTCATTATGTAGTTTGATGATTTCTGTAATGTATGTCCTATTCACCTCTGTCGTCTTTTCCTAATTTCCTCTTCATCAGGAAGCTCGTTTGTTCTCTCACATAGCAGGTTATTACTGATGGTATTCGACTAACGGACATTGAGTATATTGTGTACATAATTGTTTATAAATGCTTGTTTATATACACACCACACGTGCGTGCACAGAGGGAAAGAGACGAATAGAACCGTAGTCTTAAAATGAGCCACCAATTATTAAAATGCTATAAAACAGTTGCTAATGTCCAATTTAAGATATGGTTCACTGATTTCCTTCTTACACTTAGTTCTTTGTGTTATTGTAGACTGGAATAACATTAGGTTGACTGAGATTATTTAAAAAAATATTTCTTATCTATTTTTAATTATGTAATTTGATCATCAGTTAATTTTTTAAAAATTTTTCGTTGCCTGGTCATTTGTTTGTATCCAATATGTGTCTAGCCACAATGTATTTTGTACATGTAAGGATTGTGCATGTTGCTATGTGTTTATTGATACTGTGACACATTAGAGTGGATCTAAAGAAACGATTTTCCCCCTTTCACATAATATATATATATATATATATATATATATATATATATATATATATATATTCCAATAAGACTACCTATTCATTATTACTTATTGTGCAATTATTATTATTATTATTGCTAATGTCCTCTAATTATACATTTATTAAATTTCATTAATTACAAATTAATAGGACCACATGGCTATCCCCCCGATGCTGCTGGATGTTTACCTTATATGGATAATCAACATTTTGCTGCTTATGGTCGTCCAGGTGGGTAGTAACATATAGAATGGATTAAATTTAATATATATTTATTAGGATAGGAATTTTATGGAGATTATTTAATTTAAATTTATTTTTCATTCATGCTATGGTAGCATTTCATAAGCCAATGGAAATATTTACAACACTGGTAAACACCTATATATTTAACTGTTATTTGGATGACGATGATCGCGTTATGTGATTGATAGTACTGGAAAAATGTGAATCACTGAAAACTCACACATTAGCGGGTCTGAATGTTCTAGGTCCGACTCTGTGTAAGACGATACAGAATCCACATAGTTTTACAGACTGTATAACTAAAATCGAACATGTGTTCATTGCTAACCACCCTTTGGGTTTAAAATAGCTATGTAGTTAATATGTTAGTTTATTGTGTAGTTTGTTGGTACCATTTGAAAAAAGGATCTACCAGTTCTTCCACTGAATCGAGATCATTAATAAGAATTAAACTAAATCACTCATCATGTACTTGGTTAAGAACCATACATTAGGTGATAGGACTAATAATACTGCCTGGTTGTCCAAACAGAAATAAATGGAGTGTGATGGAATTAATGTCTGAAAGTTAAACACCTTAACCAATAGGCCACCGCCCAGGGATTACTTAAACATCATCTATGCTCTACTCTAAAACCTACGAATGACGTGGTATATCAATCACTTGATTATCGAATAATTATCCTAATGTTCTTTGATGAACTCATTAAATCACCAATATTCTCGATTGTATTTCCAACTTGATCATACACCAATTCATTCGAATAATGAATATGATATTTTGGAGAAAAACTATTAAGCAATACTTATCTAAGTTACTAGCTATTCAGTGTTGAATTGATGCTGTCGATATAAGCGATTTATTGAAATTATTCATCTCATATCTCCCATCAGAGCCAAGCTAGAAAATCGTTATAAATCAAGAAATATATAAGAAGGGGTTTTGTGGAGATTGTAGTCATTTCAACAGTTGAGATCATGAGTCAATTGAAGCTAGACCACCATGGAAAACCTAAAAGCACTGGACGGCCGTTTCGTCCTATTGTGGGACTCCTTAGCAGTGCGCATCCACGAACCCGCCTCACGGGCTTCGAACCCAGGAACCTATTGGTTTCGCGCCAGGCGCTTAACCAACTAGACCACTAAGCCGGTCGGCATCCAACGGTGTTAATGTCTAACTTCAACTAATTGTTGTTCATTTTCAATTGTGTTCTTATACAAATCCAACTCAGAAACTTAAGAATTAACAGTGAATATTTTAATATACAGATGATATTTTTAACTTTTCTCATGGGATCGATTATATGATTGAAAGTCAATACTATTTTTTTTATATGGAGGTTTCGTCCTACTTCACTTTTAATGGACTCATCAACCGTATATACCAACAAGGTGACATTTGACTGGACACAAAACCTGTATATATAGTATTACTGGTAGAAAGTCATAGCGACCATGCTATAGTAAGGGATGATATCTCGTAATACTCCAGGTGTATTACTTTTTCACCAATATGAATCAACTTTTTCAAAAGACAAGTCACTTTTTATTTTTATCCGGAAATGATATATTTAGCTCGTACAAGCCCATACACATACACACACACACACACACTTCCTCTCACACACATACCGGCATATTAACCTATGTTGACATGATACAGATAAAATGGAATCCATATTGTCCTTCTTTTATTTTTCAATCTGTTTAAAAGCTATTGTGATACTACTATTATTACTATTTTGATAGTAGTAATGATTCTACATTTAATTGAAAAAAAATCCATTTTTATTTATTTATTTATTAAAACTAATGTAGACGGAATGAACATTAAAGGTTTAATGATTAAACTATCATCATTAAATGAAGATAGATGTATTGTATGTATCTCTCATTCATGTTAGGGGTGTCTCTGTATACAATTGTATGCAAAATTATACCTCTATAAACATACCCATACATATACAGATACACATACATACAGATAATCGCTGATCAAATAAATGAATTATGATTTATATGACTAATAATGTTTATTATTAATGCTTCCTATATCTCTTTGCTGTGAGTAACAGAAGACGAGTAGTAATAATGGTAATAATCATCTGAATTGACTTTCATAGATGGGTTAATATCTCCTTTTTGTTGTTGTTTTTGTTGTTGTTATTGTCTATTTATTTACTTCTATTTGTCTTCTTTCATTCATGACTCACCCTAATTTCTCTTTATTTTTGTCATTTGACAATATATAAATCATTATCGATAGTAAGGATAAGTAAAAGAGAGAGAGAGAGGGGGAGGGAGGTGAGAATTAATCAATAAGTAGTCATAGATTTTTCAGAGGAAGTATTTTTATTTTGAGTATGAGAATGGGAAGCAACAGAGAGAGAGAGAGAGAGACGGAGTAAGTGAGTAATTGATGGACAAGTAACTTCATATATAACGTAGCTTTTGTGTTAGTAATTCAATATTGGCAAAGTGTATCTTAAGTTTCAAAGTAATTTCATTGTAACTCATGGTTTTCCAGGTTTTCCATGGTGGTCTAGCTTCAATTGACTCATGATTTCATTCTGTGAAATTTCTAAAATCTTCACAAACCCCTTCTGATATATTCACTCTTTGACTTCTCTACTGCTTTGGTATTTGTCTTGATACATTCTTCTAAGTGTCCTCCTATGATGTGGTAAATTGAATCAATGCACATATGTGTCAAGTTCTTACATTGCTGATGATCAACTGACTAATTAACTTGTTACGTCAGTACTCAAGCATAGGTTATGTATTGTTCCAGACTGATGATTAGTCTACAGTAATAGGAGTATACATCAATCCATTAGTCATCAATAAAAATTTATTTGAGATCTAGCGAAACGTATTTCTTTTCACTAGAAACCTACATTTGTTATTAATGGCTCATACAGTACTTTTTTCTTTATTATTTCACCATAACGTTAATCTATTTTCTGTTTTTTTTTCTGGAAATAATTGTTTCCTTTAGGCTTTCACCCATCATCTCTTCGTCCTGAAGAGTTCTATGCGGCAGCTGCAGCCGCTGCAGTTGGAAACAACGCGTCAGCTGGTGATCTAGACGGTCATTTAAATTCTGGACGTCCCAATCTTCCCGGTGGGGGAGGATATATGTCAAATTATTTAGGCGGTGGTAGTCTACCAGACTCGGATTTCCCAAATCCAAATAACTATCAGCGTGGTGGTGGTGGGTTATTCCCTAATTCTGGAAATGGTGTTGGGGGTGGAGGTGCTTATCCACCAATATTAGGTGGTCATCTTCCCTATGGTCCTTATTCTACTCCTTCACCAACTCCATCGTCGAACACTCCTAATCATATGTCTGGAAGACATTCTAATCAATTCCCTGGACAGTTTGGTTTGTTTCAAAATTCCCATAATAGTAACAACATTTCGGACAATAATAATAATTATAATTATACAGCAAATGAGTCAAAAATGCGTACGGCTGCTGATGTGGATAGTGTGCAAAAGGCAACTTTAGCTGTTGCTCAGTACGCGGCAGCACTCGCCTTACAGCAACAACAACAACAAAGTTTGAAACGTAATTATTCTGCAACTAATACAACTACTGCCACTACTACTAACAGTAATCATAATCCTAATTTAAGTAATAATTCTACATTGTCTCTATCCACTACAGGTTATAATTCACCTAATTATAGAGGAATGAGTAACGGTCATTCTATGTCATCTGGTCATCCGACACCATTATCTCCAACACATAATGATAATTCGGTTTTTAATGGACCTAATAATGTGATGAATAACATTCCATCTGCACATTTACAACATTCAATAAATAATCCTACTGCTGGTTCACCAACATCATCATCATCCTCACCATCATCATTCCCAGTGTTGAATAGACATACAAATTTAAATTTATCAAATTATAATCATCATACAAATCATGTAACTGGTCATCATCATCACTCACATCATCATCATAGTAGTGGTGGGTTCTTACCTTCCGTTGGTGGACAAGACACAATACCCCAACCATCATTGCAAGATATCCATGCAGGTTAACACTATATATATGTATATGCACTGCAAATTTGTACATTTACAAATCTATACAGAAAAGCAGATGGAAACAGATCTACTGATCAGGAAATAATTATTTGATTATGAACATATATGTATAAGAACTTTCTATAAATTTTACGCACCATCTATTAAACCCCGGTGGATTCATGTCCTCCCCCATCTTCCCTACAATAAAACACAGTGATAGACTTCTTTTTTTCTAACTAGTTAAAATATTCATCCATATATATATATATATATATATATATATATATATATATATATATATATATATTTACAAATAGAATAACATTCTCTTCACTCTTGTGAAATACACAAATCAATGATCATAATCATAATATCCAATGGACAAGACATATTCATGAATATAATTTGACTATATTTACTGTTGTACAAATATATTACTGAAGTCAATTACTCTCAGTTTACTTCATTTCTTTATGCTTCAAAAGGGTCAAGAAATGATATTTGTAACAAGTTGGTGTGACATAAGTTTTCTAGTGTCCCACTCATCTGTTTGTTTCTAGGCAGCTTATTTTCTATCTATTCTTGATTTACTTTCCTGTTTAATTTATTCTTCAATGATAAACACTATGACTTACTAAAAAAATGGTACTGATTTTAATTTTTTGAAAGGATTGTTTGTCTAGGAATGGAACAAAATGGAAACTCATTTACATCGTGTATATTCCTCTATATAAGATAATATCCGTTGAGTATTTTCATTGTCACCACAACCATAACAGTAATAACATCCGCCCACCTCCCCCCCATCACTATTCTTGACCTAGTCAATTATTGATTAATAATTTGAATTTTTCATTATACTACTAATCTATTTACCTACCTACCTACCTACCTAGCCACATAACTACTTACCATCTATCTGTTTGTCTAACCAACTCACTATCTTGTCATTAGCACAATCAATGTTGCGTAATTTCCTTCATTTTTTTTATTTGCTTGTATTTTTTCTCTTTTGTTTTGTTGTTTATTCCTCTCAGTAATTCTATTTTTACAATAATGACCATAATACGAGTAATAATAATAGTAACATTAATAGTAAAAACACTAATAGTAATAACGATATCCATTCTATTACAACAATGTTAATAGTATTTGTAATATTCAAATTGTCATTAGTTATGTAATATATGAATGAGAGTGTTAACTTCAATGAATTAAACAATAAATACGAATCTAACAAGCTAATCATCAGCTTCGTAGTTCAATATTGAATCATTCATTGATTGCCTCACCATCACCATCATCATCCCAACCGCTTTTGTTGACTTTTTCTTTAAAAAACAGAACTGCTATATAAGTCACAGCGTATGTATATGCCAAAATAATGCGAATCATTCTCATTATTATTATTATGTTCATTTCTAATTATTTGTGAAATATTTACGATACACTAATAGGTATGAATCTTTCTCTATTCTCTTTCACTTTCTTTCGGTCTCCATTATTTATATTCATACACCTGTAAACTATTACTGTCCATATATGGAACAATAACTTTTCTGATGAAATACCAAATGATCTCTATTATACATAAGATATTCATAGTTGTTTTTGATTCAAATTTCCAGTAAGTTCAAATATGCTCCTTAGAGAACAATTGCGTATTTTGCACTATTAACAATATATTCAGTGGATATATATATATATACATATACATTAATACTTTGTTGTATCATTGTTGGTAAACTCTTCCTCACTACAATGATTGTTTGAAGATAATGTAATTACAAAATTATTATTATTATCACTGGGACTCCCATCTATTTCTCATCTAACACATCTTTAAATTTCCTCCCTCCCTTCTTTTAAATTTTCTGTACACAGAATCAGTGTACTCAAGTGCACGAAAAAACGATACTTTTTTATGTTACTACTAATACTACTACTACTAGTAATGTGTTGTTACTGGTACTATTGTGAATAATAATTTGGATATAAGAAAAGGAATGTTTATTGGTTGAATTTTTATTCTTTGATTGAATAATCGAAGTTTATTGTTGCCATATATACATACATATTATTTTTATGTTTTTCTCTCTTAAATCACACAAAAAAAATTATGTAAAATTATCAGACATGTTACTATGAGTACTATTACTATTATTACTGACTAACGATACACAGACATATGAGCACACACACACACCACATACATACATACATACCTACATACATATATATATGAACAACGAAAAATGTTTCTTTTGCATCCAAAAAAATAAACTTGTGTAATAGATAATAACTTTTGTTTGTATTTCAATGTTCTTTTGTTTTTAATGTCTTATAAAGATGAAAACTATTTCTCAAGGCTAAGATTAAGCTTCTAATATATTGTGAAATGTAACAACAACAATTATTACTACTACTACTTTTAATTACGTTTCGTGGATTAGTTGAAGTTAGACATTAACACCGTCGGATGCCGGCTCAGTGGTTTAGTGGCTAAGTGCCCACGCGCGAAAGCAGTAGGTCCTGGGTTCGAATCTCGCAGGGGGTGAGGTCGTGGATGCGCGCTGCTGAGGAGTCCCACAATAAAACGAAACGACCGTTCAGTGCTTCGAGGTTTTCCATGGTGGTCTAGCTTCAACTGACTCATGATCTTAACCAGTGAAGAATAGAATGTATTAGTTAATACTGAAATTCAAGGTTAAGGGGAGATATCTATGTCATTGTGACCGATTCTCACCTATATCATCAAATGTGTTAATCAATGATCACGGTTACCTTGTAGTACTAAATCAGGTTATCAGTGTCTAGCAATACGGTTCATTTTGTGTGATGGACTTCGGCTACATGTTGATATGATTGCATTGAATTTTCTTTAAAAAAACTAATTCTATTCCAACGAAAGTTGCATGTTGAAGTAGGTGGTGATCGTAGTTAGATAACTCATGTTGAAACCATCTTATTTGATAAAGATTCATTACTCCGTTAAGTGGTTTGTTATCTTTGTCTAGTATTTTATTATTATTCATACCGTCTCCACACAATGAGTGAGGAATACTTTTCAAACACCCGTAATAAAAAAAATTTATAACCTGTGGATGTTGTTATCTGTTTTCATAAACGGTGTTTCACTTCGACTGAGTAATATAGAGTGAGTTTTTATGGAATATACTCACCCTTTGGTTTGTAGATGAAAGTCTCGACTACTCCACAAGTGTTAAGGGTTACCAATAACTAAACAAGATTTTAAAATCTGTACCAGGTTATCGTCAGATACCAACCTACTGGTGCTGAAGAGACTTGAGAAAAACGAAGTGGTCAACGACCTAAACTACTTCACACTTTATCAATAATGTGTGCATTGATTTAGACTGGTCATGGAAGAACGTTTTGCACTTTGAGGGAAGTAAGAGAGACTCTTTCTAAAATCCTTGGAATTTTCATAAATGTAATGATAAGATTTTGAATTGGTCAGCATCTTCATTAACCAGAACTGTATTAGACGGATATTCCAATTCGATAAATGGATCTCCTGATAAAAGGTTAATAATGTTTGAACATTCAAACACCAGTAACGGCATCTATAAAATAATTTCTGTGATAAAATTAACTGAAAACTGAGAGCGTAATATTTCCTGGTAAAAGTCACTGTAAAAAGCTCTCTCTGATGAGATTTCACCATTAGGCTTAATATGACCATTAGTGTTCACATAAATAGCTTTCAATAGGTTAGCATAGATTCCGTATAAATCTTTCAGTAATGGATATAAGAATAAATAGGTCATTAATATTTTATGATAAGTAAAATTCGATATAATTTTTGTATAAATCACCAAAATCAATAGCTATGTAATTATTCGATATTTGATGTTGACCATATTAGTTTTAACGGATTCACCCAGCTGAAGGCGCATCCGCATCAGATTACAAGTGGGAAGGCCGTGCTCAAATTCTCCTGCAACCACTAGCCAATTTAGATCAGTCGTTTCTTAATATGTTGATAAACTATCAAATATATCTTCAAACCTCCTCACTTCTGACTTTTGATTTCACTAGGTGGGTACGATTCAGATTAGAAGGTGTTACTGGGTAAAGTGTTGTCAAACTAAAAATACCTGTGATATCTTTACATTTGTCATGGGCTAGTGATATGATCTCAATTTATGGTATCATACAGTTGATCTCAATTGATCTCAATGTTTTCTAGTGTTTTCATCCAGTGTAAACCTTATAATGTTGAAACAAGGAATCAGTTTATTCGGAACTTCAATAGTTGAGATCATGAGTCAATGTGAAGCTAGATCACCATGGAAAACCTGGAAGCACTAGACGGTCGTTTCATCCTATTGTGGGACTCCTTAGCAGTGTGCATCCATGACGCCGCCTCGCGGGATTCGAACGCAATTACTAAAAATCTCGACAAAACACCTTATACAGAACTATTCATTGAAATCTTAACAAATATTTATATAAAGTATTTCATTTGTTTATCAGTTAAATGAATTCAAGTACCACAGTTCAATAACGTCATAATAAAAAAATCAACTTATAAATGAAGATTTCTTTCATGAGTGTTTTCATCTGTATAATTTCTAGATTGACTTATATATATATTTTTCGTTATCACCTGTTTTAGAACACATTTGAATTATTGATATTTATATGCTAGCCAAATGTAAGTGATAAACTTTACGCACGTCACCACTACTACCCATCTTGCCCTTACACGTACACAAATAAGTAGACAATTCAATCATTATTAAAACTAGACTCATATCCATTAAGTGTTTTGACCTGACAAAAAAGTAACAGTCAGTAAGTCTTAACCTTTATTTAAACGAGAAACAAAAGTTGAATACATTATATATAATATGGTATTCATATAGTCTATCTCTAAAAGAGTTATAATGTTTACTTCATCTTTGCTATTTCAATTTACTACTACTAATACTCTATCTCTCTCCCTTCACCCCCGTCTCTCTCTTGGATTTAAAAGCTAATTTGAA